GCAGATTCAATACAACTTTCTCAAAATGGCCCTTTTTATAGGAATGGTTTGGAAGAACTTCATATTCCTAAGAAATAGCAAGTGTGCCCCCAGAACAAAAGTGATCTTGAAATACAAGAAGGAATTTCCTCTATTCCAAAGGTCTTTAACTGCTCTCAGCAATACCTGGTAGTCTTCAATATACAGGCTTTCACATCTTTTTTTTTTCCATTCGTTTCTAGACAGAATCTCACTCTTTCTCTCAGGCTGGAGTACAGGGGCACAGTCCCAGCTCACTGCAGCATGGAATTAACAGGCCCATGGGATCCTAGGGCCTCATCCACTGAGCGCCTGGGGCTACAGGCTCACACCGCCACACCTGGATAATTTTTATAGTTTTCAGTAGAGATGAGGTCTCACTATGTTGCCCAGGCTAGCTTTAAATTTCTGAGCTCAAGTGACCCTCCTGCCACAGCCTTCCAGGTTGCTGGGATTTGAAGCTGAGCCTGGCCGGCTTTCACATCTTTGCTCTATAGTTTATATTTCCTAATGCTATTGTAAAGTACTCTTTTTAAAAATTTCTATTAAAATTATATATTTAAGGAATTCTATATATTTGTGTATATTCAAGGAACAGAACCTGAGGATCATATACATACACATATACATATACATGTACATATACATATACATAATGAACCAATGCCTACTAGGTGAGGGGCTGCCTTGTGAGCAAACCCAAGGGCCCTGGCTCATGAAGCCCTTGGCTAGAAAGGTGGAGGGATCAGCCAGGTGGGCACACAGCAGATTTCTCGTTTTCTTTTGGCAAACACACACACAAATATCAGCACCTGCTCACTGGAGTCTCTGGCAACCCTGACCAGGCTTCATGATGGGTGAGGTGGGCTAGGAATGGGAAAGTGGATGACCCCAGACCTAGAGACTGCCACTGTCACCTGGGCACCTGGAATGTGCGTGGAGGAGTCTCCCGCAGATTTGGGCCTGGATCAATGCCCAAACATGCACAAGGACAGGACTCTCGGCCTGGATGTTTGCAGAGCTCCCAGTCTTCTAAAGAGGCTGGTGGTGGGGAGGAAGTTTCAACAAAACAGAAGATTCTGGGTACTCGAGCTTGGCAACAGAATACTTCCCTGTACTACTAAATGACAATATCTGACATGATGAATGACACACTTGAGCAACAGCTTTCACTGTTTCACCAGCAGTGTCTCCGGACCACTAGGGTAGTGCTGTCGAATGTTGACTGAAACGTCAGTGGTTCAAGCCCATCAGTCATGAATGTTTCTAGCTGACATGACCTTCCATCTGAAGAGTCTCTTCCTTGGACCAAATATATCTTAAAACTTCTCTTCAGGCCAGGCGTGGTGGCTTACACCTGTAATCCTAGCACTTTGGGAGGCCGAGGTGGGTGGATCACCTGAGGTCAGCAGTTCAAGACCAGCTTGGGCATCATGGTGAAACCCCATCTTATATAAACAAACAAACAAACAGAAACTTCTCTTCTTCTTGTCTCTTGTCTATTTTCCAAAGTGCCTCTTTGTTGCTTGGAGCAAAATAAGTCCATTTTTAATGTCCCCCCAAGAAACATCTTCCCTTACTTATCCTGGTGTTTAGGGTTTTGAGTTTGTTTTCTCAGCTGCTCATATTTGGAACACTGGAAATTCCTAAAATGGAGAATGACGGAATGTGAGTCACACCTCTGGTGAAGCCACAGACTCTGGGGGAGAAACCTAATCTGCCAGGGTTTGAAGTTAAACACATTAATTTTCTGTGCCTCCATTTCTATATGCCAAATGCACTAAACCAGAATACTCAGCTTGTCCAATGTTTAAATGAGCTGTGCAGGAAAAGCGTGGAGCCCAATGCCTGTCGCATAGTAATTGTTCAATACACATGAGCTCATATCAGCGCTATTGCCTCCAGCATTTCCATCAGGCTTTGATCTTTTATACACCCTTCTTGATACAAGTGGATCATTCTTCAAACCTTCTCTAACTGATGGCCATGAAATTGCTCCAATGTGTATTATTA